ATCCTTTCCAAGCCCTAGGCCCCCTCCCCCCACCACCCCCTCCTCCTCGCCCCCTCCGGAGTCCGGCTGGGGACCTCCTGGGCTGGGTCCCAGAGAGAGCAGAGGAAGGCAGACCCAGGTGGCCCCGCGCCCTGCAGGGCATCCTTGGCACCATCTGTTTATGGGCATGGAAACAGCCCTGCCTGCCTGCCTGCCTGCCTGTTTCGTCCAGGGAGTCCGTCACCTCTTTTTACCCGTCTTGCTCAGTTTCTGAGTCTGAGATGTGGGCTAGTCACTCTGCCCCCTTCCAGAAATACTGGCTGAGCAAAGGAGGGACTGCGCTTCAGCACGTAGCAAAGTGATGGGGTGCATTTGGAACTGGGCCCGGTTTTTCACCATGCGCTGTGATTTGTCGCACCATCACTGATGGCTTCGCAGAACTGGCTGTTGTTCTGCCTGTCTTGCAAGATTGTGGGTCTGTGCAACACGGGCCAGCTGCTTGTGGCAAATGGTTTAGAAAATTAGTCCTTTTAACTGCTTCAGTCCAGCCAACAGGATTGGGTTCCCCAACCATGAGCAGGATGGCCAGGCAGGTTGGTGTGCAAGGGGCTTGGCACGGCTGTGCTCTTGCCTCTGAGGGGTCCTGGGTGCATCCTTTCCCCGTATATGCCACCCATTGGGTTGCCAGGTCCCCTTGCTGCTCTGGGGGGGGATTCGGGGGGCATTCCAGGGGTGGGTGAGGACATTGCATGACGTCTGCAACGCAATGACGTCCCCCAGAAGTGCTGTCATCGCATCAGGGATGTTGTGCGGGGGTCACTCTGGCTTTCGGGCAGACTCTATGGTAAAATTGGGCTTAAACCATATAGTTTGGCCAAAAACCAGAGCGTCCCCTGCGCGACATCCCCAACGCGATGTCGTCACTTCTGGGTGACATGATCATGTCAGGGGTGGGATCTCCCCCACCAGCCAGCTGGTCCACAGCAGGGAGAAGCCCCCGAAACTAGGAGGTCCCCTGCTAGGACTCAGGGACTGGCAACCCACTTGTCCATGTCAGTAATTCTGGCCCTTGTGCTTTTGTCCTACTGCAAAACTTAAGACTTGCTGAATTCTCTATTATACTAACAGATAGGTTATCAGGTAGTCGATGGACCTTTTCTTGACACTCAGAGGCCATCTGAATAGAATGGCACCCAGGAGCATCTCAGCTTCTACAGTGCGCGCAAAAGGCTTTTCCTGTGAGACTGTGCTGGGGGGACGGGCGACATCCCAGTCATTGGCCCTCTGTGGCTCCCGTTGCCTAAGTGCCTTTTTCTGCAGCTTCAGTACAGTTTTCATTTGATTTTTGTCCCTGATTTCTCTCACTATTTCTTGCTTAAGGCAAATTAATGTAGCAATTTTGTTTATGGCAGCTAGGCACTGTCCCGTCCCCCCCCCCCCAGGCAGAATTGTTCCATGCACGGGCTTAAGTAGTTGCGCGTCAGTTTGCCATTTGTGCTCGTGCCATGTAATTTAAACAGCCTTGGGCATGAGACCAATCCTAGTTTTCCATGAAGATGGCAGTTGCGTGAATCAGAAACTTGGATTGTTCTTACTCCTGCCTTTCTTCTATAACTAGACGCCGTGTGGGACCACATGTTTGCCTCTCTGGGTTTGGAAGTGGATGCTGCCCTGGGTGGATACCATCTCCAAGCAGTGGACAGTGCACCCTGCGTAAGTATCAACAGCCATTTGGAAGATACCAGCTTGCTCATCTGCTTTCTACCTGAATTGTAGTGCTGAACTGATTTTGTTTGAGGTCTGTGGTTACAAATGTGGAAGAACAAACAAGATATTCCAAAGTGGGTGAGATGAAAGTGACAACAGATGCACTGAAAGCTGCAATTTTGTCTTTCCAATGTTGTAATATGAGTCTTTTACCTGTAGTAAGCAAGAAAGTTCCATTTTTGTTGACCATCAGGCTGCAAGACATGGGCAAATAGTTTAAAAATATATAAGGTAAAGGTTCCCTTGCTCGAAAGCCAGTCGAATCCGACTCTAGGGTTGTGGTGCTCATCTCCGTTTCAAAGCCGAAGAGCCAGCGCTGTCCGAAGACGTTTCGTGGTCATGTGGCCGGCATGACTAAACACCAAGGCACACGGAACGCTGTTACCTTCCCACCGAAGTGGTACCTATTTATCTACTTGCAATTTCTTGCTTTCGAACTGCTAGGTTGGCAGAAATACATAAACTTCCTCAAAAATCGCTTTGCTCTTTCATACACTATAACTGCTGAGGTGTGTTTTGAGAACATTGCGGAACAATGATGTTTTTCATGTACTCAGTCACCACTGGCTTTTAATATGGGGGCTATGGCAGTTTAAATGCTGCATGTAGTGCAGAAAGTGAAGAACCTCCAAGAATACTGTCAGCAAGCTGCCATTATGTTTCTATGACCTCTGTGTACATATCCTTCCCCTGTTATACCCGGCTTGTTATTCTGCTTCTATGCTGGAATGCCTAAGATAATCTACTGGAGGGTTTGTGGAGGAGAGGATGCTGTAATGCTTGCCACTGATTATCGCTTGGGAACTGCACCTGTGTTTTGTCTGATGTTCTGCCTGGTTCTCATGGACTGGGCGCGCAACCGTTTCTTTAGCCCGCCAGCGGGAATGTTATTCATTGGATCTGTGTCTGTTTGAATTTCCTTTATTATGCTTGCCCTACCTGTGTATCCCCAGTTCTAACAAAGAACGTGTTTGAGTGCCTTTCCAACGCTTTGAAATAAATTTTGCTTTTCTTGAAAACGTGGATTTATTCCCGATGCTTGGCGATCCAACAGATGTCCCCTCAGTGTGCAACTGCAATAAAAAAGGCGAATGCTATGCTGGGGATTATTACAAAGGGGATTGAAAACAAATCAGCAAGTAACATAATGCCCCTGTATAGATCTCTATGATGCAGCCTCATTTGGAATACTGTCCACAGTTCTGGTCACCGCACCTCAAAAAAGATATTATAGCATTGGAAAAGGTGCACAAAAGGGCAACTAAAATGGTTAAGGGCAGGGGTCTTGTTGTAGAAAAAGAGCTGCCGGAGCTCATTAGCATAACTCATTAGCATAACTTATTTGCATATGCCACACCCCCTGACATCACCGGAAGTGACAGAAGGCCACACCCCCTGACATCACCGGAAGTGTGTCAGAAGGCCCGGCTACTTACCCTCCTGCTTCATCCTCATTCCCAAACGGAATGAGGATCGAAGCAGAGGGCGGGGTAAAGAAGGGGG